ATACACATACTCCCTCAAAAAAATCATGTTCATGCAAAGTAATAGAATCAGATACTGAAGGGCTCACTCACACACATTCAATATAACATACACTTTTACAAACTAACTCACAGACACAGGCATGCACAATCTCTCACACACTCCCTCAAAGACACAGTCTAACAATCTCAAACTAAATTACTCATTTTAAAATAAAATACAGACACACACAAGCTCACACACACAACGATCCAAGTATACACAGACTCATATTAAGGCTATTCTGTAGTCACAGAATTGAGACAGCAGCCATCCCCTGTCTCCATGGATATCATACTGTGGTAGAGGCTCAGCCCAACTTCTAGATTCTTCTCAGAGATGGCCAGGACTCCAGAGTTCAGGTTCTCATATGTTGCGTGACTTTTGGGATAATCCACACCTGAAACACTGAGTGGCTTTGTCTTCGACTACTTGATTATCACCTGCATATCAGTTGATGCAATTGTTTACCTTGTTTGGAAGGAAATAAAGTAAATTCAGTCTCGCTAGGCTAGATCAATGTATCTCTGTTCTCTTGGCAGCTTCAAATGTAGTCGAAAATAGGACAGTTTCAATAAACACTGCAGCTCTTACAACGCTTTCCTGGTCAGCTGGTCCAGCAGCATGGGGACTCCAGTAGAATATTCATTTTATGGTCCTAATTCTGTTTCCACTGTGGACACATTCCTTCTTATGTACCAGGACTTCCAGTCCATCAAAGCCTAGGATGATGGAGATGAAAATAAATATTCTTCAAATTTTCATCATAAATGTGGCAAGAAAACCTGATATTTTTGCCCATCGGTTTCCATACCCAGGTGTTGTAGCTCCTGACCACAAGGCACTATAATTCTCACTGTTGCAGGGAATTCACAACTCCCTGGAGGATAGTGTTGTCCTCAAAATGGACTTTTTTTGAGATTATGTTTTTTATTATAAAACAGTGGCAGAAAACATCTTGTGTAAATCTCACATCAGAATGTGGAGACTGAAGTAAATCCTTTCATTGTTCTACCGAGGTTTCTGTTTCTGTGCAAACGTGAAAGAGGAATGTCTGCTGGATCCCATGCTCACATTCCATAATCACATCTCCTATCCTGAAACAACAGCTGCTTTCCTTCATGTTGGAACATATTGTATAGTATTTCAGGCTAAGAAATGAAATATTCAGGAACTTGGACAGTGCACTAGTAACTTCTATGTGATAAAAGAACACACACATGTAGAGATAACAGTCAATCCTTCTAAGTATAAATGACTACCTATCAAGTTTGGACTTTATTTACATTATTCAAATTGTCTTCATTCACAGGTGGGTAACATTACAAGGTGTCATTATTTTGTTAGACAAATGTGATATCCATCACTATCAGCTCAGGCCCAGTTTGAGATGCTAGGACTGTCTGTTGGGAGGAATGTAAACTCAGCCTTCATTGCACATGTAAGGGAAAGCTCTGATATAAAGAGGGAGGACCCTGGAACTTGAGTAGAAGCAATGATTAGCCTGCAGAGGATGTTGTACTATGAGTTCTCCACACCGTCTGATCCACAAGAATAGATTTTCGTTACTTTCAGCTGCTGGCTCCTTTATTTTTTAATTATTATTTATTGATTAATTTTTTTAATGTACTTTAGGTTCTGGGGTACATGTGCAGATCTGCAGATCATGCAGGATTTTGGCACAGGTACATACATGGCAAGGTGGTTTGCTGCCTTCATCTCCTCATCACCTATATCTGGTATTTCTCCCCTCATTACCTCTCCCCACCCTCCCCACTCCCACTATACCTCCCTTAGCCCCCCGCCTACTGACCCCAGTGTGTGATGCTCCCCTCCCTGTGTCCAAGGTGTTCTCATTGTTCAACACCCGCCTATGGGTAATAACATGTGGTGTTTGGTTTTCTGTTCTTGTGTCAGTTTGCAGAAAATGATGGTTTCCAGATTCATCCATGCCCCATGAAGAACATGAACTCATCACTTTTGAGGTCTGCATAGTATTACATGGTATATATGTGCCACATTTTCTTTATCCAGTCTATTGATGATGGACATTTGGGTTTGTTGCAGGTCTTTGCTATTGTAAACAGTACCCCAATGAACATACATGTGAATGTGTCTTTATAATAGAACAAATTATAATTCTTTGGGTATATACCCAGTAATGGGATTGCTGGGTCAAATGGCATTTCTATTTCTAGGTCCTTGAGAAATCGCCACACTGTCTTCCACAATGGTTAAACTAATTTGCATTCCCACCAACAGTGGAAAAGTGTTCCCATTTCTCCACATCCTCTCCAGCATATGTTGTCTCCAGATTTTTTAATGGCTCCTTTATTTTAAATATTATTTTATTTATTTTTATTTTACTTTACATTCATTTTATCCCATTTCCTGAATATGTAAAAAAAACGAAGTACCTATAAATTTTAAATTTAACAATCAATCATTAGTAGAAGTAACAAAAATAATGGTTATGAGGAAGATGCCAAGTAGAGATTCCAGAAAATAAAACAAATAAATAAACAAGTTATGTATGTTTAGAGTGATACCTGAGGACACAAACTCTGAGAACCTTGTGCTGAATTGTGTATGAAGTTTAATTATATTTAATGTCCAAAATGCTGGTCATTTCAGTAAAAAAGAAATTTGTACGTGGTCTGCTCATATAAGGAATTTGAAAGGGATGAAATCACAAACTTGCAAAACCAGGTGACACTTGGTGTATTCAGTATTCACCCTTTTCCATATTGCTAGGAAGAGAGAATGGATGGGCTATACCTTCCTGGGAAATGAGAGAAGTGGTTTTTAAGATGGTTCTCCAGGGGAGTTGTCAATTCAATCACTCCAACCATGCTCTGATACAGGATGGAAGAACTAGACTTGCTGAGTCTTCGGGCTTTCATTTTTCTACCATGCCGGATGCTTCTTGCCATGAAACATTATAATCCAAGTTCTTCAGCTTTTTCACTCTTGGGCTCACACCAGCGGTTTGCCAGGGGCTCTTCAGCCTTTGGCCACAGAATGAAGGCTGCACTGTTGGCTTCCCAACTTTTGAGCTTGTGGGACTCAGACTGGCTTCCTTGCTCCTCAGCTTGCAGATGGCCCATTAAGGGACTTGACCTGTGATGGTGTGAGTCAATACTCCTTAATAAACTCCCCTTCAAATGTGTGCATCTATCCTATTAATTCTGTCCCTCTAGAGAATCCTGACTCATACAATGAGAAAAGTGAAGACGTCACTACATCAACCACATTTCACTGATGAGAACTTGTCCCACAGAGAGCAGGGATGTGCAGGAAATACAGAGGGGTTGGGGGATATTGTCCGTAAAATAACAGATGCAGCAAAACTGAATTCCCCCATGGAAGGAAGGTTTAAATGTTTGTTCAGAGCTAATGATGGCTTCTGTCACGACCTCCACAAGGTTTCAGAAATAGTTTCTATTAACAAATGTAATACTTTACCTGGGTTTTCTCCCCATAGCTTATACTTGCTCTCTAGTCAGCACCAAAGAATGATGTCTTCAGAATTTTCCCTAATCTTCTGTGAACTCCTGGTGCAGTTCCTGGAAGAAAAGCCTGCATGGGGAAGGGAGCCCTCCTCATGTGCAGCCCTGAAGCCACCACACCATCTCATCCACCACTGCCCTTCAGTCACTTAGTCAACATTTCTGAGTTAACCTTCCTTAAACATGGCATTTGGCAGTGTCTTCCCTATTTTAAAAAATACTTAAGTTCTGCTTATCCCTGCAGACACCTATCCTTTCTGGAATGCAGGTTGTTTTGAGTGTGTAGTAATTGAAAATTGATAGAAGGTTTGTGTGCAACTTGTCATCTTACAGAGTGTACCCACCATGGGGTTGACACCAACAAGCAAGCAGGTGGACTCCCTCAGCTGGAGAACAAGGCATTTCCGTAGCCAGTGACCCCAGTGGGTCTCTCACCCTCCAAGACCAATCGGGCTCATTTCTCTGGCTAGTGTACATCCCACAAGGGGGACCAGTGCCCGCCCAGGAGAGGGTTACTTCTATTTACCTCCCATTTTCTGAATGGAAACTATTGCTTCTGCCTGAAATGCATGCATGTGTTTTTATTTTCTGTAAAAGGGACTCACACAGAAACACCCACCAAACATTACAGTGAATCTAATGGAACTATAGAGAACCATACATGATGTGCCTCATGGCCATGGTCTCCACTTCTCATTGAAGAACATTCCTGATGGGATTCACCAGAACTTGCTGGCTTTCCATAGACATGGATCTACCTCTAAGCACTTTGGGACCTTAACTTCTGAGAGGGAAAGAAATTACAGAACCTATAGGAAATATCCATTTTATCAATCCTCTAAGGAGGACTCCTAATAGGAATAGCCCCACCCACTTTTCCTATAACTGGCATCATTCCCAGGAACCCACTTCAAACACCTGTGGTACTTCAAGATAATTTAAGCTTGGTATGCCAAGGAACAGCTAGAAGAAGAAAGAAACGATCTGTCCATGTAAGCCCATTCTTTCTAACATATTTATGACTCTGGAGCAGGACAGTTATAGTGGGGCAGGCTGTGCATATATGAAGAGGGGCACAGGGGAGCTCTCTGCACCTTCTGTTCAATTTTGCTGTGGTCTTAAAACTACTTTTTGATACATTTCATGTGAAAAGGGTGGCAGAGACATTTTGGAATACATTTTGGCCAGTTTTTAGGAATGATATTTAGTCTTAGTCATGTTACAATAAATTGAGCTCCAAATTATTTATCTATCTGATTTTAAAACTTAAGTCTGCCAAAGTCTCCATGGGAAACTTTCCATCAGCTTGATTGATTGTTGCCTTTACCATTCTGACAATCTTGCATATGCAGCCACCTTTGAAAGAAATATTTCCTGTGTAGTGTGCATACATGTTTCTATTACTCATGTTCCTCAATTGCTTAGCCCATTTTCTAAACAACTTTAAAGATTGTAAGCCCTGTAATCTCAAATTCAGTGCCGCTGCCCACTCCCTGGGGTTTCTGACACTCTCAGGATGTTGTTTTCACACTGTGTGTCTTTTGCACAGTAATACACGGCTGTATCCTCAGATATCAGGCTGCTCAGCTCCATGTAGGCTGTGCTTGTGGATGTGTCCCTGGTTATGGTGACTCTGCCCTGGAGCTTCTGTGTGTAGTTTGTGCCACCACTACTAGGGTAGATCACTCCCACCCACTCGAGCCCTTGTCCAGGGGCCTGTCGCACCCAGTGCATATAGTAGCTGGTAAAGGTGTATCCAGAAGCCTTGCAGGAGACCTTCACTGAGGCCCCAGGCTTCTTCACTTCAGCCCCAGATTGCACCAGCTGCACCTGGGAGTGGGCACCTGTGGAGAAGAGACAGGAGTGAGTGAAGTCTCACTTGACTGCCCTGGTTTCTTCCTCTGCCCTGGGACTGGGGAGCCCCTTACCTGTTGCCGCTGCCACCAAGAAGAGGATCCTCCAGGTCCAGTCCATGGTGAGGAGCTGTGCTCTAGAGGCTTCTCTCGAGGAGGGGTGTGGTTGTTAGGTGATGCTCTCAGTCACAGAGATCTCTATATTCACCTCAGTTATTTGCATACTTATGAAGGATGCTATTTAATAGCCCAATTCCTGACCCAGTATGAGAAAGAGCAAATATATGACACATGGACGACACAGTTGTAGAAGCTGAAGGTTCAATCCATAATCCTGTTAGAAGCCATGGGTCCCCAACACATCCCTGAACTCTGTGTTGAGAGAGCCCCCTTCACTGGGTAACAAGCTGCCCCAGGACACACATGTCATTTTGAACCCACATTTGAATGTCTCAGGGGCAACTTGAACCATTTCTAGACCTTAATATGGGAATACGTTATTTTGGGAATGAGTGTGTTTCTCCAAAAATTTCTCTTATTTATAAGAAAGAATCTCTTCCTGATCTCCAACTGCTTACTATTAAGAGATTTAGCTGAATTTGAAATCCCCATTGTAAAAGTGGTTCTCATTATAACATCCAGTTTGATAAATGCTCACAATTGAACAGGATGTTTTTACAAACATCACCAGTCCTTGTGAAATACTAATTTTAGATATCCTTAAAGGAAATCCCAGGCCCTGAGAGGAACCCCTCCCCAGCCTCCTGTGCACCTGCTCTGGGCCAGCAGCCTGTGCTGGGTGTGTCCTGAGCGCCCCCTGCAGCCCAGTCCCAACCCTGCAGGGATGTTTCTCTCTGATCAGAATATATTCCCACCAGTGTCTCTAGCCCAGTATAAATTGGCTGTGCCCTGGCTCGGAATTCTCCTTTATTGATGTGATATGCTTCTCACAGCATCTTTTGGAATATTAAATTGGCCTTAGGAAACCAGCGAACTCTGCAGGGAAACCCCAAGAAAAGATCTCCTGCATCATCAGGGAGCCCTTTCCTGGAGCTCAAGAGGCACTGAATCATTAGACACATGGTGAATCCAAAAACTCTTCAGGAGTTTGGAGGAGACTCCTATTTCCTTTAGGGTCCTGCAGTTTGTTATTGCATCTTAGAATACCTACAGGTGCAAGTTCTGTGGCTAGAAGCCCACTCCAAATCTGCTATTCAAATCACACACAGGCACACACACACACACACACACACACACACAGGCACACAGGCACACACACACACACACTGTGGCAAATTTTTATTTTTACATTAATGGATCCCATTGAGAAGTGCTTACACATTGAATTCACCTGGTCTCACTTTGGAACTCTGCAGATGCCCCGTGGAAAGTAAATTTGAGACCATGAAGGTGAAATCATTTTATTGAAGTTGCTGGTGTCAGCCGCTCCAAATTGCTCTATTTACCTTAACATTTTTTCTCCTATTTTCCTCCTCCGATAGAGTTTGTGCATTACCACGCTCTCGTATTTAACCCGTGTTGACTAAACTGGTGAGAACATAATGTGTGGAACACAGAAGCGTTACATGTTCTTACCGCTGAATTGTAATGCTGTAGTGGTCTCCTTTCTCTGGGCTGTGACCTATACAGGAAGTCTCCAGGTGTGAAGCTGATTGTTGCTCTTTTGTGGCTGGAACATCACAGGAGAATTTTCTTAAATGTACCCTCATTGGCTAATTTTACCAATTTTCATGATAGAGGAAGGCTGCTGGTATGGGCTTGTCATGGGGATGGATTACTTTCCTCACACAGATGAGAATCTAAAAATGCCCTTCCCATGTTTTCTCTTTCTGAAGGAGGTCTGGGTGTATTTATCAGAGATTAGGTGTCCTGGTAATAGAGCCGTGCAGGGATCTATGTGGATTTTCACCCTGAGAACCTGGGGGTTCCTGGAGGAAAGGGCAATGAGAGCATGGGGTGTGGGGCTCCCAGCATCTCTCACCCTCATGCTAGTCCTGACATGCCCTTTATGTTCATTTAGTTCAGAATTTCATATAACAAACCACGCAGCAAAGCTCATTTAAATTATTCATGCTCAGGCCATATTGGAGCAGCAGCTGAGTATAATAATCACATTGCACTCAGACAAATCTGGGCCCAATCCAATTTTTACCGTAGCTCAGAGCAGCTTTACTGACTCACTTCACTAGGAGATTATTTCTTCCCTGAAAGAACTGTAAGGGTTGTTATAGAGCCCCTATGGGGTTGGATTTCTTTGTGTCGGCCTGTCATGCAGGGTATTCTGAATGATGTAGACCTTTAAATTTAGATAGTAATTTTTCCTGGTTGTCTAACTGTGTGTAGATGCCTGCCCCTCCTTCCTGTGGCTCCTGCTCTGGCCATGTGATGTGCCTGCTCCCCTTTGTCCTCTGCTGTGATTCTAAGTATCCTGAGTCTCCCCAGTAGGAGAAGCTGCTACACTTCCTGTAAGCCTGCAGAACCGTGAGTCAATTAAACATCTTTATTTTTTCAAATTACTCCGTCTCAGGCGTTTATTTATAGCAATGTGAGAATGGAATGATACATCATGAAAACATAAAGTGGTGCACCTTAAACATACACATTTATATTTTTTTCTATTATAACCCAATACAACTGAAAAATTTAAACTTACTCTTATGATCAAGAAATGCATACTTCATATTTTCTTAATAAAAATAAGGTAACATAGAAAAACTTACACTAAGGTATTTGTAACAGCTTTGCTTATAATACTCAAACTGGAAACAAAATTAAAGTCCACTGACGAAAAATAGATCAATATATTGTTATGCATTTACTTAATATAGTGACTCAGATATAAAATCTCTGTCCTTCCCCTTTCTCTCTGTCTCTATTTTATTAAAATAAAAGTATTCTCTTACCAACATCAAATAAAAGTGGAGTCTTACCAAAAATGCCTATAATGTTAGATTCTATTTATATGAAGTTCAAAACCGAAAAACATGGATCCATAGTGTCAGAAATCAAAACACTTCTCCATGTAGGTGTTGACTGCAAGCACAGGGAAAGACCCGTGTTTGGGGGATGAACTTGCTCTTCAGGCTACCTTAGGTGTTGGGGACAAGGGTACTCACATTTGACAGAAACTCTCTAGTGGTACATTTCAGATCTATGTATTCTTCTTATATATACATTTTATCTTGTAAAACATGAAATAAAAAAGTATAAAATACTTTAAAATTCAGCAAATAATAAAAATAACATTAAAATCTTATCCAAAATATGAACATGAATTAATAAAGTACATTCTAGTATACCTACTAAAAGTAAATTCCAGAAACCAAAAAGATAAGGGTAACATCATAGAGAAACAAAAGTAGTCAAGACATATGATGAACATGTATTATTTTTTCCAATCAAATGTCTTTAAATTATTTATACAAGATTTTAGCCTGTGTCATAAGTATAAGTTACTATTTTGTGTTATATTACAACTGAGAACAACTTTTACAGAGAAAAGAATATTTGAAAACATATAAACGAAGTGGAATTTATCCTCAATGTTGGTCCAACGATTACACCTCAAAGTTCTAATAATACTCTGATTTTGAGTGGGTCTTTGGAAAATTAATTTTAAGAGATAAAAGAATAATCTGTAATAAAGAGACATCAACAGCCCATATCAGAAAGAAATTGAAAATATGTAATACAAATCAAGTCCTGAGAAGAAACCTTAAACCATTGGAACAGTCTCATGTATAGTAGGTTGTAACATGTTTATTGTTAAAATTATCAAGTTTATGTTGTTTTGAAAAATTAAAGCAAAACATAATAAAATGAAGTGTTTGTGTGTTTATTTGGTGCAGCAGAATGTTGAGAGAACTGAAGATCCCTGTAATTTTGAGGAGGTGGCCTAATCCAAGGAGAGAGAGGCTTCAGGTCCTGTGTATACACATGTTTTTTCTGATTGTGCCCATTGAAGAGAAAGAAGCATGAGTGAGTTACTCAGGACAATCCAATCAGATCTGGATGGGTAGAAAAAATTCATGACCCAAGATAGATTAAAAAATATAATTAAAGTTTCATTAAAAAATGGGAAATTTTGGTTGTATATATTTATGGGGAACAAAGCTATGTTATAATTTGTGAATACAATATGGAATAACTGAATTAAACTAATCGACACATATATTACCTCTCTGTGACTATGGTCAACTCCTGCGTGGGTAAGTGTTTTGATTTATGGCACTGTAAATCCATGTTTTTCTGTTTTGAGCTTCATATAAATGGAATGTAACATTATAGACCTTTTTTGGTAGGGACTACTTTTGCTATTTTTGAGGTGTATTCATACCTCAAATTTACAAATCTTTATCATTTTTGTGACTAGAACGTTTGAAATTTGTTCTTGACTTTTTAAATGACCAATACATTATATTTAAGCTTACAAATAGACCTCAATTTATGTAAACCATAGAGAATCATTGAAATCAAGTATACATAACTCTAGTAATTTATATTTAGTTTATCATTAAGGTTAATTCTTTAGGACATATTTTAGAATTGTTCAATTATAATGTTAAATATAAATTACTACACATGTACGTGTAGGTTTGTGTATTTGCATATATGTCTATAGATGTAAATTAATGTCCCTATAGCTATGTAGTTACTGATATCGACAGATGTTAATAAAGGTCTAGAAGAATAAGTGCAAATAACTGGGAAGAATTATTTCTTGAAGGTATATATCTTTAAAAATACCCCTACATAAAAATTTTAAAATTACAAAAACACAAACATCCATGAAAATATTACATATGTATATTATAAATCTATTATAACTAAAAATAATAAAATACTGTAAACTTATAGGACTCCAGAGACTTGCAAAAAGAAATCCACTTCTTGCGTCTCAGAAAGGAAACCTCCCCCTGCACCTGCTCCTGGG